ATCAAAATCGTCAAGCCATTTCTGAGAAGCATGGTAACTAACATTGTGACACAATTTTATATATAACATAGATGTGTAGATAAACAGGGTGTTTCACTTTATATATAAGATAGATGATATACATCTATAAACAGGGTGTTTCACTAAGCACCCTGCAAGAGCCCGGGGCGCCGGGGGTACTGGGTGGCTCCTCTGTAAAGGGTTTCCTCCGTGCGGATATCCCTTCATTTGTCCTCGTTTCCAATGTAATTATAAAGATCCAACCAAATGATTGCGTATTTTAGTACATTATTGTCACGTACTGCAATTTATATTTCTGACAAATAAATCGCTTGATTGATTTATAATGAGGATTACAGAATTAATATTTGTACGCTGGAAACAGCAGAATATGATGAAACATATATAGTATATAATTACCACATGTACATGCCGTATTCTGACAAATAAATATATTATTATTATTATATGAAACTAACTGTACCCGCGACGTCGTCCGCGTGGAATTTAACTTTATTTTTCTAAAATAAAAGTAGCCTAAGTTACTCCTTATTACATCAGCTACCTGCCAAAAAAGGTCGCGTCAAAATTGGCCCAGCCATTTCAGAGATTAGCCGGAACAAACAGACTGACAGACAGATAGACAAAAATTGAAAAAAAATATAATTTGGTGTATGTACCATATTTATATTCATTTGCATGTAACAGAAAACGGTTATATCAATATTACAAAAACACACTCCAAATTTATTTATATGTATCGATGAAATGAAATGAAATGATATTTATTCGGTAGATGTTAAAAAAATTAAAACACACATTAAAGAAACAAAACAAAAACTCAAAACTTTGCAACAATTACAAAAATAAAACAGTGCTCAGCATAATGCTGCAGCGGCTGGAGCGCTGCAACGCTGTTTTTCAGCACAAAACCTGGGGTAGTGTATTACTATATAATACTATTGTATAACTATACTTTGTTTTCTCTATACTTACCAATCTATACATATAAATAAAATTGGAGCGTCTGTTTGTAATATTGAAATAGCCCTTTTTTACTACATGCATATGAATATAAATACAGTACATACACCAAATTAACATTTTTTACAAATTCGTTAACTTTATTTTTCTAAAATAAAACTAGCCTAAGTTACACCTTATTACATCAGCTACCTGCCAATAAAAGTCCCGTCAAAATCGGTCCATCCATTTCAGAGATTATCTGGAACAAACAGACAGACAAAAATTGTAAAAAATGTTATTTTATTATATGTACCGTATTTATATTCATATGCAAGTAGTAAAAAACGCTTATTTCAATATTACAAACAGACACTCCAATTTTATTTATATGTATATATTTAGGTTTCCTAACTATATAATATAATTATATCTCGCCTCTACTCTAGTTCAATGACATGAAAATTATTCAACCATACCGACTTAATAGGCAGGTAGTGGAAAGTTGGTTCATTACTAGTGACATTAGGTTTATGGTTACGCGCTCAAACTTTGTAATGAGCAGCCCTCCGTCCTCCAGCAGCCGAGAATGTTGGATCCAATCTCTTTATCTATTTACCAAACATGATAAAATACAGGCCCTTCCCCTCTGGGCACACTGGGCACGTGCCCAGGGCCCGGCGATGGATTGGGGCCCCCAAGCCCTTCGTTTTGACACAGATCTGTGCCCGCAAAACCGTGACTTCTTTTTAACCAATTTAGTCATTATTTAAACGAAATAAGATCGAAACGCATTTGAAAAAGTACAGCTGGCGCGCGCATACCGCCTCTTCACTTTCGGTCGCTGCGACAGACGACAGACATTCGAAAGGCTAGTCTAGTCTAGTCCCTACTCCATTAAATAAAAGAGAATAGAATAGGATAGGACAGGACAGGATAGGATAGGACAGAACAGAATAGAACAGAACAGAATAGAATAGAATAGAATTTGTTAACTCGTTTTATACAGTAATGACATAAGAAATACAAGAATAATTTACACATTAAAAAAACAGAGTCAATGTGGACCACAACTCAGCTTAATGCTGGAAACATAAGTTTCCAGCGCTGTTTTCAGTTGTGCCCACAGTACGGACTACTACGGACGCACATACATATGTATATTACAATAAAAAAATACGTATACGTAAACTTTATAAAACAGATATTATACAATAAAAAAAATAATAATATCTAAGAGAAAAAGTATATAAATAATAAAAAGGAAAATTATAATAATCGTAAAACATTATATACGTAACTAGTTTTTGCCCGCGGCTTCGCTCGCATTAAATTAGCCCCTTAGGGGTGGAATTTATCAAAATCCTTTCTTAGGGGATGCCTACATCATAGTAGCTTTATGCATGCAAAGTCTCAGCCCGATCGGTTTAATATTGACATAGTTTCATACAAACTTTCATCCCCTATTTTATCCCCATGTGGGTAGAATTAATCGAAATCCTATCTTAGCGGATGCCTACGTCATAACATCTACCTGCATGCCAAATCTCAGTCCGATCCGTCCAGTGGTTTGGGCTGTGCGTTGATAGATCACTATGTCAGCCACCTTTGAGTTATATATATTTAGATAGCCCTCAAATAAAAAAAAATAAAACTGTAAATGAAGAAAAGAAAAAATAAACAATAATAAAAAAAAATACCCACAGTGATGGGTACGGTGCATTTTACGTATTCTAATAACGGTATCGTAATATTAAAATAAAAATATCCATAACACTTGCTCTCTGGTACCAGCACATAGTTTGAGTCAAGGAAAATGTGTGTCATTACCAAACGAACAGTCCACGGAATAGTCTTAACAAATGCTTACCGATGTCTAACAAGATCTTGGACCCCTCAACACATAACAATTTTTTAAAAATATTTTTGCCTAGTGTTCAAAATCTACCCTATACCATCGTAAGCACAGATTATTATATTAGAGCCCGTTAGTTTTCTGTTCCCGCGTCTTTCATTCCCCTCCATTAACTAGTAACAAACTGACTGTACGGCGGCCATGACGCGCGCGCGCATTGTATTGTGAATTAAAATAAATTAGAACTGTAAAACCTACTGTGAAAGTGTGTGAAAGCTAGCGAAGATATCTTCGAGACCCTGAAGCCCAAGAAATCCGCAGAACCATACAGGTACGTGACCTACCGTTTTCCCTAACATTTTGGTAGCAGAGAGTAGTTTCCCAAACAACTAGTTCGTTTTGAAGGTAGACGTGTTAAAAAAACTAATTTGTTTAATTTAACAAAATAGTGCTTTATTACAATGGTCATAGGGGCCCCATTACCCTAATGTGACCAGGGCCTCTAATAGGTGAAAGACGGGCCTGATCAAATCAACTGAGAACCATAATTGAAAGAGGGAACTACAGGGCGCTGCCGGCGAATACAAACAGCTTCATTACGGGGATCATATTGTTGAAAGGCAGCGGATAACGGGCGAGCTGATGTTTATGCGAGTCAACTGGGACGTGAGCGATGAGGTAACCCGATCTATTGATATTGTATTGGTTATGAATGAATGAACGAAACTGTATGATATGAATGTATGGGACACAGCTACCTAGATACATCAAAATAATAATTGCATTTAATAATGTCTAGTAAGACAAATCCAATATTGTCTACTAAGCACTGCCGTGTCTAAACTGTGTCACCCCACCTTACATTTTCCTATTGTTATTTAGTATATAAGATCATTATTTCTATGTACATATTGTCAGTTTATTACCATCTGTAATATACATCGTCTCGACCAACACTTAGATAATTTCAACAAACTTAAAAACTGTACAAGTACAAACTTACGCTTACGTATAAAAATAAGCTAATTGTACCTAAATGCCGTCTACACAAAGTAATTCATTCTATGGTAATTGAGTAAGATTTTATAATAAACTGCCAGAATCTACTCTAGATCTTACAGAGAGGCATTCAAATTTTCTATTAAACAAATGTTATGTAAAAAAAGCCTATTATAGGATAGATGAATTTATAGATAACAGCAATATCTAGCAAGAATAAGTTTGTTTGCGGATAACGTTATAATTTATTAAGAAAAGATTTTGATTAATTCTACCCCTAAGGGGATAAATTAACGCGAGCGAAACCGCGGGCAAAAGCTAGTACTATATAATTCTCTTATAATAATGACCCACTGCGCCATCTAGTCCCGCGGTAAGCAAACCTTATGTTATAGTTACTAGACAACTGGTATAAATACTCAATTTTATAATATACAAACACCCAGACCGATTTAAATGCATACAGCTTTACCTCCGACGGTCGCTGGTTCGAGTCCTCGCGCGGTACAAACATTTGTATTCATGAGTATGATTGTTTGTATCGGTCTGTTTTTTATGTATAACATGTATGTATAATTACAAAAAAATATCTAAGTATTTATATCAGTTGTCTAGTATCCCTAACGCAACGCATTATTATATAGTGGGATATATGTATATATGTATATTATTATTTGTTTTATTTTTTGCCTTTTCAACTCACTGGGATAGGGGGCAAGGGGTTATCAATCCACATTGGATTGATAACCCCATTGCTAGCAATGTACCATGTCAGGTCGACCTCCACGCGGTTCCCCCTGGAAACCATCGTGTTAAATTCCTAGTGAATTTGTAACGATGGGCTAACTGACCTGACCTCATGCTCATCTTATCATCCTCCACTGGTGCCCCGCCAGCGTAAACCGTTAGGGCAGGTGGGTGCACCATTCCATTATCATCAAAAAAAACACTGGGATATAATATTCGTCTTCATGGGCTTGTCTTTATCCCATTATTTGGGGCTCTCTATAGGTCGTCATATCTGAGCATACTCTCCTTTTATTCATATCATCTTTCACACAATCCATCTTTTATTAGGGCGTCCTCTTCTTCTCCATCCATCCACGTTCATATTATACACTTTCCTTACAACATAATCCTCGATCACTGGGATATAATATTAAAGATACTAAAAACAATGCTATATAAGTATATTCAACAATCAAACACGAATCAGAAATATTAAATATAATACAGCTCGTCACAGCGCTGGCTGCTCGACCGTAGGGCTCCTTAAAAAAAGGTCATCCTCGAACTCCTTATCGAAGAAGCAGTTGGAGGGGGGACCTGTGTGCGCGGCCAAGCAGCGGTGCTTCCGCAGGAGTAAGTACATGAGTAGGTTGTACTCCGCGGTGGCGTTCTGGACCATCTTCAGAGTCGCTTCCAGCTGTTCGTGGCGGGCGTCCCACTCGCGGAGACGCTCCACGCTCGCAAACAAGTACTGGTTCAACTGCTTGATAGACAGATACATCTTTTATTTGCATTTAAGAGCACACACAGAAGGCACAGAAATATAAAGAACAAAAATCTCCAGATTTTGCCAAACTGAAGAGGAAACGCCACTACACAACTTATATGGTTGTAACCCACTCATGCATAAACGATATATCTTCTTTGGAAAGTTTACACTCTTTCATGAGGAGATAAAAACCATCGCTCTTAAGAATATCCTTGAATTCTTGTCCCTGACGGGTCTAGGTAGCGAACTCTAAAAAAGGGTGAGCACAGTAGATTCGTAGGTCGCAGTGCTACAGGTCCAAGCACCTAACAATGGCCTAAACAACCCAATAAATATATACATTATACATATATATATATATATATATATGTATAAAGAAACTGTAACAAGTATTTATTTTTACTCGTGACCGAGTGCTGCTTGTAGGACTGGTCTGCTCTGATAACATGGCTGATTTATTTTGTAACTAAACTCACTATTAATTTATTAATATCAACTTTGCTATTCGGCTTTTACACAATTCTAAAAAAAATAATTCCGAACAACACTAAAGAACACGCAAGTTTCTTGCTGGTTCTACTTGTGACTATGCGTTCCGGTATGAGCGGTAGAATAGTAAAAATATGACTATTCAAAAGTATTTAAATTAAGTTTATTTGAATAAATATTATTTATATTTCCAAGTAGAAATTATATTATCTTCATATTATATTATATTATATTAGTATGTTACTCTAGCAAAAGTTTTGAGGTTCATATATCTTTTATGTTAAAAAACAGTTACTGTGTAAACATAAAAAGGTTTTTACAGTACCTTCATCATATAATATAATTTTAATGTAGGTACTCATAATTCACAAGATTCATATACGTTAATAAATAACAGTTACAATGACGGAAATTATAAATCACCTTGACTATTCTTCTTTCCATTATTTTCCTTTGAATCCATTCGCATATATACGTAAGGAAGGCTGACATCAATAGTACGAGTGTAAAAAATATGTCTAGAGGGGGAAAATGAGTGAATGCAAGGTCGAACCAAGCGTTTGTTGGCGGGGAAACAGTGGGAGTCTGTGGTGTTTCGAATTCCTCCTCGGACTTGGAGTACAAGTCTGGTACGTAATACTGCGCTGGTAGAAAAAGCAGTGCCACCAGCGCTGTCACGATAAGCCCGCTTGAACATGTGCTCAACGGCATCGGGAGCCACAAACATCGACTCCCGCTTCACATCGCCAGTAAATTATGTCAAGTAAGGTAGATTCTGTATCGAACTTAAACTGGTTAGTTTTCTTTTGGAATCTTATCGAAATATGTAAATGTGAACTTTATCAAAATAAATTTATTTAATAAATACTTGACAGAGTAAACGTCGGATTTTTTTCTTCTAGATTTAAAAGCTATTGTCACTACCAAAACTTGCATTTTACTCTGTTTTTATACGTTGCATCCAGCGCCTTAAATTCTTATAAAGAAGCTAGGACTGACATTTGCACCACATATTGTCATTCAGTTTGTCGTCTCATCGTAAGTCAGTCCTTTGAAACTGACAAGATAATAAAATACAGAAATGATACCAAAGACAACGGCTGTATGGGCTTAGACTGTTTGCCTTTCCATTAAGGATAAATAAAACAAAAAAAAACTGACAAGATAAGTCAGATAAAACTGTCAACTTCAACAAGTTGTCATTGGAAAAAAACTTTATTCTAATTTCTAATAAACTTTCAATTCTTCATAATTTCTTTTCCTTAACATTATTTAAATATTTTTATATATTAAATACTTAGCTTTCTTAGTTTTTGTTACATTATTAATTTCATTTAAGACTAACTTCAGTTGTTTTACTTTTAATTGTGTCAATTGTCTATTCTGTAAACATCATGTAAGTGCTAAAGTGTTATGCATGGAAATTACCTGTTTAATCGAATGTGTTGACTCGTGAACGTCCAGCGTTTTACAATAATAACATCCTCCTTCCTCAGGGTCAACTAGCTCGCCGTTGAAATAAAGAATAAGGATTTGTTGAGTAGCTATCAGTAGGCCTACGGTTACGCATCGACATTAACATGAAGAAAGTTGTTTTATTCAAAAGTGCATCAGAAGATTACGAAAGAGCTTTCACTGAGAACAACTACCAAGTGGTGTTTGTGGAACCCTTACGATTCTCGTTCATAAACCTTGACGCTCTCAAAGATAAACTTGCACTTAACGAGTACGAGGGCCTAATACTGACCAGCCCTCGCGCCATAGACGCCGTGTCCAAATGTTGGGATCCCTCCAAGTTTGTAACATGGAATATGAAAAAAGTCTACACAGTAGGCCCTGTGAGCAGTCAAAAAATAACTCTTTCACTAGGCCTGGAACCGCTGGGAAGCACTGCAGGTAATGCCGAAAACCTAGCCAAATTAATCAGTAACGAGAATACAAAGACTTCAAAATTTTTATTTCCATGTGGCAACCTGAGATCGGAGACCCTTCCCAACATGTTGCAGATGCAGGAGATTACAATAGATTCCGTGACGGTGTATGAAACCAAGGAGAACGAGAGTCTTAAAGAAGATTTGATAGCACTGAACGAGGGGGACCAGGACCCGTGCTGCATGGTGTTCTTCAGCCCGTCGGGGTGCGAGTACATTCATCGTCAGCTGCAGACCTTCAACAACAAGCTCTCTACATTGCCACACTTTGCTATCGGCAACACAACAGCACACAAAATTGAAAATCTGGGCTTAGAAATAGCCGGTGTCGCAGCCAAACCTGTCCCAGAGAGTGTTGTGGAATCTGTTAACTCTTATTTCACACCCCACCAATAAATTTAATTAGAATTGAGTCTTGGTTTAGTTAATTGCAATGTGTACAAAAAAAGTGAAAATATAAATGTTAAATGTGATATCAACAAAATATACTGGTGTTGGTATTTGTCTCTAGCTAAACATAGGTATAACATTAGGCAAAATAATATGTAATATACCAAAATTTATAAGAATTTTGATAGGCAATATTACTGTGATAAATTTCTGTTGCATTTGTGATAAATTGTAGTAAAATTTAAAAATCTGTAACCAATGTATAGTATATATTGTTATAGAGGTGATGCCTGTAATTTTATACATAAAAGTTCAAAAATTAGTGTATGTGTACCAGGGATGTTATGGATATGAAATTTTAGATACGGATAGGTTTCGGATATAATAATGATTTTTATACCAGATATGGATATAAAATTATTTCAGATTATCCGTTAGATCCGGATAACATATATTAATTTTTTAAGAAATTTCAAAAGTAAAATACAAATAGCTAATAAAATTACTTACTATTACATAATGTGTCTCAATTAGGCTCCACCCCTATCCAGTATTATCCGAAACTTTTATTTCGGATTCGGTTACGGTTACTGATATTTTTTTTATATCGGATATCCGATAGTTTCGGTTACGGTTACGGAGCTTCTTAACATCCCTATGTACCTATAAGTTCATAGGTACACAGGGATGTTAAGGAGTTCATAACATAGGGATGTTAATGTGTTTAATAAATCTTTCGAATCATGTGTATAAGGGTAATAAAAATTTAAAACAGGCATACTGCTTGTACACAGGGAGTAATAGTTAAATTACAATAAAATATAGTTAACACATATTACTAATCATAGTATATATATATATACTTCAATCCTTGTCCCTGCGACTGTAGCGAACTTTAAAAAAGGGCGAGCACAATAGATCTTTGTAGGTCGCAGTGCTACAGGTGCTACAAACATCTGATAATGGCCCAAGCAACCCAATAAAAAAACATCATAGTGAAGAAATTGTCACTGTTTTTATTAACTTTTCTGTAATTTTTCATTCTCATTGATCAAACTTAAGTACAATTAGAATTTTATAAATACAAATATTGTTCAACATTGTGACTGAGGATGATGTGGCAGCCAATATTATTTAAGTAGTGTTAGTCAACTAACCTTGTCATTACAAATGTTTAATTAGTTCTAGATATAGATGTTTGGTGCTGGTTATAGATAACTTTTTATTATATACAACTCTGAATATAGGCATTGTACATTGTTAAATCTGAAATCACAATTATATATTTTGTTATCTAGATAAATAAAATAGCATAATTTATGGTCATAAAATAGATATAGTAACACTTAAAAAATTACTATTTTAAAATTAGTGTATTACCCACTATTTCGTTTTCATGTCTTCAATTTCTTTATTATCCAGAATATATTGTTCATTAAATAGATAAATTTAAATTTTCAAAATTAAAGCTAACATTGCCTCCTTTTATATAAGTCAATTAAATTAACCACGACGTCTTAATCATTATCTAAATACTTTTATAATGACATATAATACTTGTGTATATTTTTGTTAAAACTTTAAAGGAAAAAAAAAATTAATTAAATTTAAAACTTTCAATGCTTTACAAGACAAGCATATATGTACATTTTGCATAGTGCCATTATTCTATACCCCCCCCCCCCCCCCAACCGCGTGGTAACGGAAATCAACCCGTGTAGTGTCATATAAGTACAGCTATTTCTGTATACCTCAGCTCCATAAACCAAGTCCAGTGATTATCATTTATTTTTAACAATTCACTTAAAAGAGAAATAAATTACCCAAGCCATTGTTTAAAAAAAAATACTGTATACCCATGACCTGTATTGTTTTATTGTATGTAAATAAAAGGTAAATATATGTACATAGTATATAAAGATATAATTATTTTTATACTTTGATTTCGCAATAAACTATATTTTGTTTTAGCATTTTGTTTCATTGATTCTATTATTTTCCTGCGCAGAGTAGAAGTAGTTATTCTGCTAATTATGTGCTGGCAGATCTCCTAAACATCAAGACCAAATCAAACCCCCCCAGAGGTGAAGGTTGGGGCATCTACTCCGGGGCAACAACCCCCGGGTGGCTAGATCATAGCCCCTAGGGCATCTATACATAAGAAAAACTACGTAAACCTTACTACGCGTTGTGCCTTGCGTGGGGACCGATTATTTTTTTATTTTGTTTTTATTCCTCTTTTGATTGTTTTTTTTAAGTATCTTATATTATCTAAAAATAACTAAATTAATTATTATATATTCTTTATTGCACTTAAATACATTTTATAAGTATATTAATTAGAACTAACGTTAACAAAGGAGGACTTATCTCTAAAAGAGATCTCTTCCAGTCAACCCAATACAGCGTGGCATAGGAAGTGTTGAGTGGGTCAAATTGTGCAAATAATAATTATGTACATTATGTATTAATATTATAATTATTTCATTCATTCATAATTTAAGAGCTGCGCTCTTGTCGGTGCAACTCTTGCCACTTTCCGCCATCTTCCATCATGCTCTTTAATTCTTGATATGACACGACTCTCATTTTCTTCTTAATTCGTTTGATGTAGCTGTGCCTTGGTCTTCCCCTCCCCCTCTTTCCCTCTATTTTCCCCTCAATAATAATTTTCATAAAATCATCGTGCCGTATTAAGTATCCCAACATTTTTCCTCGTCGATTTTCTATTGTGTTCAATATTTGCCTTTTTTCTTTTACCCTGTGTAGTACTTCTTCGTTTCTTACTTTATTATAATTATAACATGAGGTAGGTATTTTGTTTAAATAAGTAAGTTAGGCACTAATGAACCCATTACTAGCAATGTACCATATCAGGTTGACCTCCACGCGGTTCCCCCTGGAAACCATCGTGTTAAATTCCTGGTGAATTTGTCACGATGGGCTAACTGACCTGACTTCATGCTCATATTATCACCCTCCACTGGTGCCCCGCCAGCGTAAACCGTTAGCGCAGGCGGATGCACCATTCCATTATCACATACAAAAAAAAAACATAACAATTAAGCTAGACAAAAACATGATACTAAAATAATGATGTATACAAATGTCCAAGAATGCAGTCGAGCAACTAAATTACTAAATAATTGTCTATGATTTACACTAAACGTAACGCCGCCCGTCACGCGTCATGCTCGCGGACGTCAGCCCGCGGCGGCTAGCGCCGGGACTGCAACCCGTGCTGGCGGCTCGACACTGCGCCGTACGTGACTGCTGCGCTGCCCACCAGCATGCTGGCGCTCACAATGGTCAGCGGCTATATAAAAAATTAACACCTGTATCTACCAAGGGCTGATCCAGCTTTGGCGCCAGGAGAGGGTCACATAGTCGTGGTCAAGTCAAGAACTTATAACTTAATTCTGATAACAATAGATACAAGTAAAAAGTTGGTACTTTAATAATGTACAAAGTTATTATATTAAATTAATTAAATATTGAAGGTAAGTAGTTACTTAAAATCTGTATGGTGTCAAAATATATAAATGAAATCATTATGTTCAATTAGTGGTCCACCTAAGTCCTGGAACCAGCTCAGGGAGGTCATGACCCCCATGACCCCCCTGGATCCGCCGTTGGTATCTACACAAAGACAAACTTGAGTTTTGTAACTTGGTCATGAACACGCAGTCCAAAGCACGAGCTATTATAACCCTGCGGCACTTATTCCATAGGAATTTTTTTTATGACCGTCCTCTGAGTGTAAATAAACAACGTGGTCACTTACTCAATTTAGATCAAACAGATAAAAAAGTTTATTGAGGCTTTTTTCTTGGAAAAGCTGTTCAGTTTCCTGAGTGTTCTGCATGCTTGTGTATTAATGAGCATGATTGTTTGTGTTCATCTGTGTTTTTACAAAAATAAATGTATTTATTTATTCCATGAGCTGTCTATCAAGCTCTGCTTAGCTTGGGACGAGATAGGACCGTATGAATTGCCCTGAACGATTACTTATTTCTATAGCTACCAAACTAGGGCTATACTATACTATATATATATATATATGTTGATACAATTTATAAAATACACTACGCCAGTGACAGGCTTTCCGAAATAACAGTGTTAAATTCAACATCAGTAATTACAAACTCACTCCGTGCATGTAGTCGACGGGCCGGGTCAGCTCGCACGTCGTCAAGCTCATTATGGCAGACACCAGTAACAGCACGCCGAGCACAGTCGATAATATTATATCCTGGAAACACACACTCATATACAACAGCCTCGGTGGCATAGTGGTTTAGCATACCGCTTTACGGGTTCGATTTCTCGCACGGTACAAACATTTGTATTTATGAATATGATTGTTTGTATCGGTCTGGATATTTTCTATATAGAATATGTATTTATTTACAAAAAAATGTATCCCATGTATTTATATCAGTTGTCTAGTACCCATAACACTAGCTCTGCTTACCGTGGTACTAAATGGCGCTGTGTTAATTGTCCAGGGCTATTTATTTATTTATATCAGTTGTCTAGTACCCATAACACTAGCTCTGCTTACCGTGGTACTAGATGACGCTGTGTTAATTGTCCAGGGTGATATATTTTTTTATTATCATTACCACGGAACTATGGGCTTAAACCCCCACAATCTTTGGTCCTTCGAGCCGGATTTGGAAGCAACTTATGAATGTTATGGTGAGGAGTACTGACAATGTAGAGCCAGAGTTGAGGCGCTCGCAACGGCAGTCGCAGCAGGGCGCCGCTGTAGAGAAGCGCTGAAAGCGCGGCCGCCGCCAGCGCCACGCTGGCTGCACTGGCCGCCAGCCCGGGCGCTGCGTCGCAGCCCCGGCTGTTCAACAACAGTGCTGTCGCCACTGCTGCCGTCACCTGCCGCCACGAGGACTTTAACACCACGCTCCATCCTGACACGACTACACGACACTACCAGAAATCGATCAATATTAACTACTTCTGCGTAAGATCCTGTATGGCCTAATTTGGAAGCTCTGTTCCGTTTAGAAGATTTAAATATAGCATTAATGCATTCGCTTTTTCTTAATAATTTATTAACGACCTTGGATACTAGTCTTTTAGTCTTCAAGTATTGCCATTCCTTTAACATTTTAGAGATGCCACCAATGTCAAAATGTATTTTTATGGCTTGGCACTACTGTATATTTGCCAGTGTACTAAATTTGAGAAAAATGATTTTTGTTTTTTTTTATGAATTGGCACGTTGATGCTTTTGCCAAAATCAAAGTTTGAAAAAGTAGCAGGTATAATTTAGTGTTAATATCTATTACACAGTAATTAAACATACATTCTATACCTCCTTAAATACAGTGATCTATGTATCGTAAAATCCAAACAATTTCCTCTTTTCCGTACAAATCGTTGCAAATCTACAGTCATCACTTTGTGACATTCGTTAAGCAATATCAGATACAAATTCAGAGCATAAAAAATATTCCAATTAAACATTGCACCAGCATTGGTACAACAATCCACATTCATTCTTGGTGCTACACTATTGTTAGAACCAGCGTACATTTAGACGCTACGACTATATCATCAAGATCCGTAACTGAATATTATACGAATATTCATAAACACAAAGGAATAATCGTAGTAGATACTTCAGCTCAATCATCTGAGTATAATAATCATCAAAATCGGTGCGTCACCGTACAGCCGTCAGCATTTTACACCTCTCCGCGTCCATATAACGCCCACACATACCATTTTTCCTTCAATACACCAAATACTCACAAGCAAGCATCCAGTCCACACTCGATCAGCGTGTACTCAGTATATCAATTTGGAAAACAGCCCAGACTTATCATTTATACATCATAGCATCCAGATTGTATGGGTCACAGACTCATATATATATTGTTACTTAGTCATTTTAGATTGTGATGCTTTAGGTATTTCCCTCTCTCCGAGAACTGTACTACACTCACTATTTAGTTAGTAGTTGTATAACTACTAACTAAACAGTGAGTGTGTACACACTACACACATACAGTCCTATGGAATGATAACATGAGTGGTATCACGGTTGTCACATGATAACGTGATGTCCGATGCTGTTCATGTATATAGGCGACAGATATTTCTAACTAACGAACCATCTTATCTTTCCTATATTTACTTATTACACTTTTCTATAACCGAAGAAACGGCCGCTCACGTAATGCTGGAGTGCTTGCAGTGGCCACACAACGAAAACAAATCCTCGGAACGGTGAGGTCGCTCCGTGAAGCCTGTGAAGACACCAGACTTCTGCGCTTTTGGGAGGAGCTTGGCTGGCTACTGTAGTAGTCTGGCTCTACACGCACAACGGCCCGAATGAGAGGCTAATTGCGGAGACTGGAGTCCAACATACATTACAATACAATACATATAATTATAATAATAATAATAATAATCTCAGGACAATTCACACAGCGCCATCTAGACCCGAGTTAAGCTATCTAAAGCTTGTGTTACGGGTACTAGATAACTGATACAAGTACATAGATATTTTTTTTTTTCGTAAATACATACATAATATACATAGAAAACACCCAGACCAATACAAACAGTCATACTCATGAATACAAATGTTTGTGCCGTGCGAGGAATCGAACCCGCGACCATCGGACGTAAAGCGGTGTGCTGGACCGCTAGACCACCGAGGTCGTCAAATTTGTTGAGTCATAACGGAAATAATTTAGCTGTAAATTCTAATTCAAAATTCAAAATATCTTTATTCATGTAGGTCTATTACAGACTCTTATGATATGTCAAATCTACCGTCAGTTCGGAATGATTTCGAGATGAGAAGAACTGACAAGAAACTCAGCTCGTATTTTTTTTTTACTTTGTATTTTTTTTACAATATAATACTTACAACAGAAGCAACTTTCAGCAGTCCACCAGGCGAGACCACGTAATTGCTGGCACTGTAGTAATCCCGAAGCACGTCCTTCTCAGATTTAGACAGATCGTCAACGGGAAGCGCTGGCTCCGCGCGGCCACCCATCCTCACTTGTGTTTACAAGTACACTCGATACACATATTTTTTTACAAATCGGTATAAAATAATTGTCTCTGTATAAACATATAGCTTTCCACTTTTTAGCAGACTGTACAATCATTATAGTTTTTAAAAATAAACATTAATTCGATATTCATTAAGATATCATGATAAAATTCTATCCACTCAAAACCTGTAAATAGACTATATTTCTGCCACCTATATGTCAAATAATTTGATATTATCTTTTTAATATATAAATTGATATAATCTGTGCCGACGAATATTAAAAATATTAGATATTACGTTATTATATTTATGTTTGTTACTGAGAAATAGAAAAAACAGAAATTTCACGACAATTTCTTGTCACACAAACAAGAAATATTAAATAATATTTAGGTCTTATATTTAGGTCATAAGACCTAAATAGCCATCAAGTCATAAACTAAGCAGAGCTTGTGTTGTACTATGCAACTGATAGTAAAATAGAATAGAATAGAAAATCATTTATTCAAATAAACTTAATTTAAGCACTTTTGAATAGTCATAACAATTTTTTTATCTACCACTCGTTCGGAAAGCTGTCATCACAAGAAGAACGAGCAAGAAACTTGTGTGTTACTCTTTTAAATAATCCTTGTAAGTTTACATTTACAAGTCGAAACGTGTGAATACAAACTACCAACCAGCACTATTTTTTTGGGTCAAATATAAATATACAATAAGATTAAATCAGTCGTAGTAATACTTAAATTTATTGTTTTAGATACATACATAATATACAAATACAAATGTTAACATTGTGCGCGGAATCGAACCTGCGACTTAAGTTTATTTGAATAAAGATAATTTCTATTTCTATTGTAAATACTTTGTATTGTCATGGAAATGTTTACTTCAATACAGGGGCGGATCGTGAATTTGTGGGGCCCTGGACTAAATCTACTTAGGGGCCTACCTAATGATATTATTCAACTAAAAAAATACACCAGAAATTCCCCGTTCCTTTCAATAGTCTCGCACTTGCATGGGTTATGATGGGTTTTTAACACTATATATTTTTTTATATTCTAAATATTGTTTCAATGGGGACTAGGAGCCCTTTGTATAATCGGGGCCATGAGCTGCAGCCCAAAAAGCCCTTAGGTAGATCTGCCTCTGCTTGAATAAGTTAGACAAGTTAAAGAATAACGTATTCAACAAATCGCCTGCAACTCAAATCCTAATTGTGACTGCTGTTTGTTGTTATCTACCAAAAAACAATTAAGAATTTTCAATCTTGATAGTATATCTCTAAGATGTACTGATTTCTGATAACGCCGATAAAGTATTTCAGTCGATCGCCCGCGGTTTATAAAATGGCACGGTGATATAAAAACAACATACTTGTATAAAACCATATATTATTATTAAAATTTTAAAGTAAAAATGACTCACCGTACACGGTCACTTATGGTAACTTACATTGTCCTCCTGAACATGAACATAATACGATCCTCACTTACAATATAAATAACACACAAAGCAATCCAAATCGCACGCAACTCAACTGAACACCCTCGCCAACACAGGTAAACTTACAAACATAATCCGCCGAGAATAAATTATACAAAACAAAAATTAATATATTATTTCATTGTGATATGTATGGTGTGTACAATAATAAAAGAAATGTGTTAAAGTTATACAATAATATGAATACAAGTAGACAAGCTGTATATATAGTGCAATAAATGCGAATAAATATTGGAATGAGTATAGTCCACACGGTCCGCGGTGAACATGAACAACTGTACCAAGTTCTAAGCTCGGGGAGCGTGTACGACAGACCAGACAGTATAAAATTATCTCCTATAACAATTCTTAATACAATCGAACTTTACTTACTACCTATATTTCGCTTATGAACATCATTATATATATCATGCAAACAATTTGATCCATTACAAGCGTCACGTCGAAATTAACTCGGACTACGAGCACGTGGCGACGCGCACGTGAGCGGCGACGCACTGTGACGTCACGGGAGCGTACGGCACGCACTTACGGGACGTAAATCATGACACAATTTAAGAACGCGGGTTGAACGTAAGGGATGAAAGAAGTGGGAAGGGGTCCTAAAAATCGTGATGTAACATTTCATCACCTAATAAAGCGCTGACAATATTATCTGATTGCACTAAGAATGAGTACGTAACGATTTCTATATTGATTATCGCATGTCTCTTACTTGTTATTGTGTAATTATTCATATATAAAAAAAGCATCTATTCAAAAGAGTAACACACAAGTTTCTTACTTATTCTTCTTGTGATGAGTGTGCGTTCCGAATGAATAGTATAATCAAAAATATGACTATTCAAAGGTGCTTATTCGGAGTTTATTTGAATAAAGATTATGTCTATTTCTAATATGTATTAAAATACGAAATTTTAACTCTTAACGAAGATCTAAAGTTCTAATTCAGCGGTATAAAAACATGTTTAATTTGTATTATTGTGAAATCAAATTGTGACTCTACACTAGGAGAGATTCACAACGTGAACACAGCTGGTGTTAAAACTGGGGAAGGGTGTCATTTCAGCCCGGAAGACGTCCACTGCTGAACGAAAGCCTACCCCAAAGATCTCCACGACGATCGGTCCTACGATTCTCCTGGTTCCCCAGGCTTGAAGATCATGATCATGTGCCATAATTTACGGATATCGCGTTACTACGTGCATATAGTAGATATAGACAGCGCGGCTCGTGTGCGCTAGCGCCACGCCTTCGAGTCCGTCCCTAGACAACAGTTATTACTTAACACCATTATATTCGTCTAACGTAGAAACGTACCCTTGACATTTGTATAATATACATTTCAATAGTAAATATCTAATAGTGTGTAAATATTCCTGAAACTTATACAAATTGGACGAATAGGAAAACGGGACAGAGAAACAAACGAACGGACGCGCACCGGCGGCTGCACGTGCAACGAACTATTCGAGAAATTGCGCGGAATTAAATATACGAACGAACGTTTATTAAATCTAATAAAAAGGACTAGCATCAAGATCAGACTCGCGTAAAGTTACGTCGCAAACTCACGACCGCTTCCCGCCGCGCGAGCGGAGACTACAGAACATATCTCATTCTACATAGAATGTTATTTACCGGCTACAAGTCCATATAATGAACGATATCGACAAGCCAATCATTGACGCAATCAAAACGAAATCCAAACGTGAATACTCTCCACATAATCGATTCGAAACGAGTGTGGGTGCATTAGTTGAAAATATATAGATAAACAAATAAAATACTTGGAAGAGTAAATATAATAGATGTGATCTACTACGTGTGATTTCGCTTCAATTTCAATACGATTGCGTTAACGGTCAGCTTTCACAATATTAACAATTTGGTCATAGCGCTCTCCGAAATAGACTCGCTTAGACATCATAGACATCGGTAACCCCGTACCGTCAGGCTTCGGAGCGAGCGACTATTTCGTACAACCACTCACATCTCGATCGTTCACTCGTACTCACGGCGCATCGGACTCGACCTCGCACTCGGACAGGCGACACGTCACGCGTCGAACGAGAGATCACAGTATGGGAACGCGGCGACGGGGCCTGCGGGGGCACGGGGGCGGCGGGGGCGGCGGGGGCGGCGGGGGCCACTATAACGGGTCGTCGCGCGACGTGGACGGCAGCGGCGCGGGCGCCGGCGGCACGGCGCGGTACGAGGCGCGCGGCGACGGCGACGCCCGCGACCCCCGCGACCCCCGCGCCCCCCGCGCGCCCCACGCCCCCCGCGCCCCCCGCGCGCCGCACATGGCGCGCGCGCCCGCAGCCACCAACGCACCCGACGCGCACGCGCCGCCCAGCCCCAGGCCCTGCGGACGCACACCACTCTCATCTCACTCGCAGGTAGTCTGTGCGATAGCTGCTGCTCTCCCGCCCGCACTCGGAGACGTGCCTTACATTACCTGCCTTTACACGGACGAGCTCATTCACGTGCGAATATGCTTAAAAATTAACATGTAAATGTACACTAAGAGAACGAGAGTGACCGCGCGCCACCGGTTCGCGCATTGCGGCGTCCAATTTTTTGTAATAATTAAATATTATTGCAAAATTGTTAACATCCGATTATGGAGTAAAGACATAGTTATGGACAATTTATAAATGTTAAACATGTCTTAAAATAAATATAAAGTTAATTAACACGAACCGTACAAAAATAGTAAAATGTAATCAATCAGTTAGGCCTAGCAAGCAGGTTAATATCACTTTGAATGAGCTCTAGATCGCGTATGAAAGAACGTGTCGTGTAAAAGCAATACTATTACTAATCAATCATTAACTGAAATCTTTAAAGTAATCATTAAAAGTCTCTGAGTGCGGCGGTATGTATTGATGTATATCTTAGACTACAATTCACGAGCGAGATCAATAAAATCCTGGACAATTCACATAGCGCCATCGAGACTCGAGCTAAGTAGAGCTTATGTTATAGGAACTAGAGAACCGATATAAATACTTCAATATATTTTTTTCTATAAATACATAGAAAATACCCAGACCGATACAAACGATCAGCAATTTTTTTCTATGTGCGTGGATTACGAGTCGCGACAGATTGAAAGTAATGCGGTGGGCTAAACGGTTAGACGGTCGAGGCCGTCAAGGAATAATAAAACGTATGACTCACGGAGGCGGAGAGCAGCAGCCGAGCGAGGTGCGCGGGCGCCCAGCGGTACTCGGGCGCGGCCAGCACGGCGTGCAGCACGAGCGCGGCGCCGGCGGCCAGCGCCGCGCCGCTGCAGGCGCTGGTCCACGCGCCCAGCCGCGCCCAGTCCAGCGGCAGCAGCGCCTGCAGCCCCGACACGTGCATGGCCAGCAGCACGCCGTGCAGCAGCAGCGACGACAGCGCCGCCAGCTGCAGCAGCTGCACGCGCGCCGCCAGCGGCAGCTGCGCCGCCCGCAGCCCCGCCGCGCCCCACACGCACCCGC